GAGCAGGAGGAGGAGAAGCAAAAGGTAAAGGAGGAGGAGGATGAGGAGGGGGAGGAGGAGGAGGAGGAGGCCGAAGGCGCAGCAGAGCTGGGAAAGGCCACGGCGCAGGAGGCCAGGCGCTCAGGCATGAAGCGCCTGCAGGTGCAAAGGCTGCCAAGTTGTCGGCGCCACCAGCTGCCAAGGCGCCGCCAGCTCCCAAGGCGCCAGCAGCTCCCAAGGCGCCGGCAGCTCCCAAGGCGCCAGCAGAGGAGGAGGCGCCAGCAGAGGAGGAGGCGCCAGCAGAGGAGGAGGAGGAGGCGCCAGCAGAGGAGGAGATGAGGATGCCGCCGATTCGCGTGGACCCGTGGGACTAGGGCGCCAGAGTAGTGGTGGCGGAAGCGTGTGATATCGCTCGCGCCCATGTCAAAAAATGGGGGGGGGGGGGGGGGGTACTTGTTGAAGGGGGGTGGCCCGCGTAGTGAGGTCTTTCAGTGGGGGAAAAATGCAATGACTTCAAGAACGAAATTCACTCCTGGAATCGTCGAACTGTTAAATCAGGTCCCCCGAAATCCTGGACTCACGGAATCATATTGAATCAAATCTTCGCCGCTGAAATTTAGGATCAAGAATTCCCTTGGCGGTCAGGAGCGCCACGCGGGGGCGCGGGGCGCGCCGGCCAGAGGGCCGGGCTCATGGCGAGCGCAGAGGGAACGCAGCAGCCGAGCGGGCCTAGCGGGGCCCAGATCGAATAAGTGTACCAGGCAGGAGCCGGCGGAACCATGGCGGACGAGAGCCAGAGCAGCGACGGCAGCAGCACGCAGCCAGGATGCGAGCAGCCAGCCCGCCAGGAGGAGGCACCTGCAGAGGGGCCGCCAGCAAAGGGCGGGAAGGGGTTCCCGCCGGCAGGCGATGGGGAAGTGTACGCTCCAACAGAGGATTTTCGAGGTGAGGAGGAGGAGGATAATGAGGAGGAGGAGGAGGAGGAGGAGGGGGAGGAGGAGGGTGAGCCAGCAGAGAAGGAGAGCCAGCAGAGAGGAGAAGAACGAGGATGCCCGCCGTGCCGCGAAGGTCGAACTGCAAGGCTCGCAGACGGTCAGGCCGCATGGCTACTGGGGGAGATGGGGTGTGCGGGAGGAGAGATGGGAAACACGAGAGGAGGAGGAGGAGGAGGAGGAGGAGGAGGAGGAGGGGAGGAGGAGGAGGAGGAGGAGGAGGAGGAGGAGGAGGAGGAGGAGGAGGAGGAGGAGGAGGAGGAGGAGGAGGAGGAGGAGGAGGAGGAGGAGGAGGAGGAGGAGGAGGAGGAGGAGGGAGGAGGAGGAGGAGAGGAGGGAGGAGGGAGGAGGAGGAGGGGGAGGGGGAGGGGGAGGGGGAGGGGGAAGGGGGAGGAGGAGGAGGAGGAGGAGAAGAGGAGGAGGAGGAGCAGGAGGAGGAGGAGGACGAGGAGGAGGAGGAACAGGGGGAAGGGGATAAGAACGGGAGAGGAGGATGAGGAGGAAGAGGGGGGAAGGACGCCCTGACCCCCACAGGATGGGCGCCCGCGCAAGAACCGCGCTGAGCGCAAGAAAGAGCTTGAGGAGACACTGCGGCGGCTCGAGCAGGAAGAGTCGGAATCGTCGGAGTGCCGCGAGAAGTGCCTGAAGGAAGAGGCCTGGCAGGGGACGGGAATAATGTGGAGGGAGATGTCGTCGATGTTGTATTTGTTCTGGGCCCCATGGGGCCCTCATTCCAAACGTCATCGATGGCGCTTGCAACGGTGCCCTTTTGTTCCTCAAAAGTCAAGCCAACAAAATGACGACGCAATCTAGCCACATTCCCAGGATGCGCCCGACAGCGGCTTCGAGCATCGCCTCGACACGGCATCGGTTGAGGCTGAGCCTTCAGACGTGCCTATGGGGCAGCCGAGTCCAGCAGCGGTCGTCGAATCTGATGAAGATGAAGGTTTTCGCTCTGATGATGGGAAGCTGATGAAAGTCGTTGAGCAGTCGGGGCGTGAGGCAGAGGAACAGAAAGCACGCAAAGAGGAGAGCCAGTGGAAGGAGGAAGAGGACACTCGCAAGGCTATCGAAAATTCGAAACGTCAAACGAAGGGCAGGCCTGGCAGCCCTGGACACCCCGAGGCTGCTGCATCCACCGATCCTTTGGGTAGCAAGGTGGCGAAAGAGATGCAGGAGAGATCGAGCCGCAGGGGCCGCAGGAGCCGCTCCGAGGACCTCGTCGCCCCCCCCCCCCCCCAAGAAGCGAGCGTGCAGCCAGGACAGAAGCAGGAGGAGGGCGAGGCAGAACGATGAGGGCAGAGTGAGGAGGAGGAGGCAGCGGGCCGAGGAGGCCAACCCCGACGAGGCTGAGAGGTCGAGGGGCAGGAGCCGTCGGCGCAGGCGGCGGTCGCCCTCGTCGAGTTCGCTTGACAAGAAGGGTGGCGTCCGCCAGGAGAAGACGCGCTAGTGGGAGGATGCGTGGCGTCAGGCCCACCTGACCTCTCATACATCCCATCTCCCATGCCACCTCCAGTTCGGGAGAGCGCATAGCAACGCAAAATCCTACAGGCTGGCTCGGAGAGCTTCCCGACCCCCGAGAAGACTGACGTCGTGAAGTCGATCTGCAAAGAGTCCGAGAAGTGCGCTACGGTGGTTGAGGACCGTTGATCTCTCTGCTTCATTGCGTGAGATTGTGAGCGCGAGGGGTATATGGTTCAAACCGAGGGTATATAGATATACTTGAACTGTGCGTTTGAATCGGGTTCCCCACTATGGCGATCAGAACATGTTGGATGTGGGGGGCGGGGTTCCAGTGGATCGTGTTGCATCGTGCGCAACCTGCTTGGATGAAAGGGCTCGATCTGAAGATGCTTAATCTAACCTGTGCCATCCTTCCTTAGCATCATCCACTGCATTCGCCTCATATGCAGGATATGTTGCGCCAGAAGGGCACCGACTTCAACGAGCTGAGTGTGATTGGCGCGATCGGTGACTTCTTCAAATCTGAGGCAGTGGCGCAGCTCTTGACCATGAAGGGTTTCGGCCGTTCCAGCCTGAACAACGAAAAGGCATTCCAGAGCGATGAGGCGCCTGCAGATGCGGGCGGCGAGGGTAACTTAGAGCCAATTCCGTTTGAGCAACTGTCCAAGGAGGACCAGCTGCAACAGGAGTTCTGGAAGAGGATGGCGGAGCAGGATTACACATTCCCTGCGAACGCCAGGGGGGCAACGCCATCGCGAGCCGCTTCCAGAGAGAACTGAACAAGAAGGGTAAGACGTACACCGAGTACCAAGCGTTCCAGGGAGATGACTTGGGCGCTGCTAATTACCGCCAGCAGTGGGCCAAACAGGAGGCGGGCACATTCCAGAGAACCAAATGCTACCGCAAGTGCCTGACCAAGACCAGGTACACTCACGGGGTGTACGCCCCAATCGGGAGGATTGCCCACAAGGAGGGCGGCGGCAAAGCAGGCTGGCTTCAGGCCTGCGCATGCATGCTGAAACAAAGTCGTTCCTCCTCCTCCTCCTCGCGTGTCCTCCCAATCCACGTCCTTCCTCGTCGTCGTTGTCGCCCTGCTCCAACTCATTCCTTGTCGTCCTCCAACTTCGTTCGTCCTCCTTCTCGCCCTCCCTCTTGTCCTCCTGCTAATCGGTCGTTCTCCTTCTTGTCCTTCTCCGCCCCCCCCCCCCTCCCGCTGTAACGAGGCAACAAAATACGTGATCAAGGCGATCCAGCTTGGGCCACCATGGGTGGCATGCGACGACATGACGGACGCGACCTGCATCGTTGCCACGCGAGTTCTTGCTTGCAGCGCTCTCGTTTACCCCTTTCCTCACTCGCACTCCTCACTCACTTCTCGACCTCCTCGCCCGCCTCCTCGACCCCCTCTCCTCCTCTTCGACCTCCTCCTCTTCGACCCTCTTCCTTTCTCGCTCACCCCTCTCCTCGACCTTGTCCTTCAACGTTCTCCTGGGCCGCTTTGCCCCCCAGGAGGCCTTGAGAGCGCTCTGCATCACAAAAGGCCTCAAAGACACGTTCTCGGAGGAATGGTCGGAACATCTCGAGTGGGCCCAGGATCCGGTTTCCAAGGGGACGTGCGTGAGCAAGGCATCTGTGGGCCCAACCGCACCTCCACCCAGCACTGGAACGCTGAACTGATGCGATTTTAACAATGTTTTTGCGATGTCGTCGCGATGTCATCGCGATGTCATCGCCAGCGATGACATCGCGATGACACCTGCATCAGTCTAGAGATTTGGTCTAGATCGCTAGGGCCCCAGGGGGTTGAGCCAGTCAGGGCAATATGAGATACTTGCCAGAGGGGTGCGTGCCGACAGGCAGCTCACGTGGCGAGAGAGCTGGGGATCGACGTCAACCTTCACGAGGACCGCCCCTTTGAAATCGATCCTGTCCCTCCTTCTCATCCTCCTTCTCCTCCTCCTACACGCCCCCCTTTCCCTCCAACTCCTCCTCCTCCTCTTCCTTCTCCTTCTCTTGCCCATCCTAGCCCTTCTTTTCCACGCGCTTCAGCACTCGCCATTCCGCCCTCCACTTGCCAGTGAAGGGTGGGCGGACGGGAGAGGGCCTTGGCGCGCTGAGGAGCCCGGCGGGTCGGCTGGGCCAGCTGCGCAGCCAGCAGCAGCGGCGCAGGGCCAGCCGCCGCCCAGGCGCAGGCTCAAGGGCAAGACTTCAGATGAGGCCGCGGGAGGAGAACAGGGGGCTGATGAGAAGAAAGCATCGAGGTTCGCTGATGATGAGGCGGCAAAGACGAAGAGTGCTGCTGAGGAGAAGCTGAGGAAAGCTAAGGACACAGGCACGAAGAAAGCCCACTTGGAGGAGGAGGAGGAGGCTCAGAAGCAAGACGCGCAGGCTAATAAGGCTATCTCCCTCCTCCCTCCCTCGTCCCTCTTCCCTCTTGCATTCCCCCTTCTGCCTCCAGTGGTGGCGTTATCCTGGGCGCGGCTGGGCCCGCCTCGGAATCCAATTCAGAACGCAATTCAGGATATGTCGAAACAGCGCCGTCGCAGGGCAGCAGGCACTCGCAAGGAGACTGGCACTCGCAAGGAGACTGGCGCTGGCAAGGAGATTGGCGCTGAGATTGGCACTGCTGGCAAGGAGGCTGGCACTCGCAGGGAGACCGGCACTGGCAAGGAGACTGGCAAAGAGACTGAGAGTGGCAATGAGGAGACTGGCAAGAAAACTGAGAAAACGGGGATAGACTTGCTTATCCAGAATTCGCGCAAGATGCTGAACAAATATTCTTCTGTGAATTCCACGGTGTCGTCTCTCGTGGCATCAGCAGAGAAAGACCCCAAATTGAACTGGATGAATACGGACGCTGACGGGAAAGCCTTGCTGGCTACGGGGAATGATATGCGCCGGCAGGTCGAAGGGTCCGCTGGGGTCGGGGGGTCCTTCTCTTAATCCTCCTCCTGCTCCTCCATTCTCTCCCATCCATATGCGCTTCGCGCTAGGACAAGCATGTGAACCGTGTGATTTTCGAGGATTTGAGCAAAGTGCGGAAATCAATGGGGGGCGTGTTTTTCACCTCTGCCCTCCACGAGCTCTCGAAGATGGACAAAACCCTGGATCTGGCCGCGAAGCAGGCAGCGAAGTGCGCGGCGATCGCTGCTATCAAGAACGCAGGCGAGGACAGCGACGAGGCTGGCCCCAGGGCGTCCAAGAAGGGCAAGAAGAAGCAGCCGCAGAGCTGATTGGTGATCTGGGGGGGCCGCCGCGATCAGGTCCAGGCATAATTTACTGCTCAGGCAGCCTAGATCTCGCACTCGGGACCAGATTCTGAAAATTCCAATGGGAAACCCCCTCAGCCAGGACCCTGGGGCCATTTCTGCAGAAAAAACAAGAATCGGTCGAAAAAGGTATGTCATCGCGACGCACGCGCACCGATGACATCCCGATGACACCCTGTCACCGATGACAGCCGATGACAGGTTTTTTCACAGGTGAACGACCGATGGCACCTGTCACCGATGACACCCCCTCACCGATGACACACCGATGACATCGATCGAGGCGCATCCGGTGCAATATTTTTCAAAAACAAATGGAAATCATCCTTCCAGTGGTCTCAGAGATAGGCTTGCCATGGGATTTCGAGCAGTGCGTTTCAAGAGCCGCCCTGGCCATCAACTTGTTCATGATGGGATGCGGTCTGCCATCCAATTTTTCCCCCCCTTCCCTCCCCACCACTCGCTCACGGGAAACGGCCCAGGGTCTGAGCTTTCAGCTCAATGTTGTGGTGGATCAGATGATCTTGGGGTGGTTCTGAAGTTTCCTCCCCTACCCAACCCACTTCCTGGGCATGCGTAGTCTGGATCTCGGGCTTCGCGCAGGCTCACTCGTGGTCGTTCGCGTCGAGCTTGCGAGCGGAGCCCGACGGAACGATGCAGATTTTAGATCTATACACAAACATGTGCGCCGACCTGTTGTTCGACGAAAGAGCGTGTGTCTGACTCCCACATGTGTCCCTGCAATCCAGGTGCACGCGAAGATGCGCCGTTCCTCTTCCTCGGAATATGCTCCCTGTGCCCCCTCTTTCTAACTGTATATCCCTCTCACTTGTTTGCTCTCTCGCTCCCCTCGTCTCTCTTTCGCTCTCGCTCTCAGTCCCCGTCGCTCGACCTCAGTAGTTTCCCGTTGTCCTCCCCCGCTCAACCCTTCCTGTGCGCGACCCCTGAAACGTAGCGCGGCACTGGAAACGACATAGTTTTGACGAGTTTTTTTTTGTTGTTTTTTTTTTTTTTTGGGGGGGGGGGCAATCCTGGGGCCATATCTTTCACCCATCCGCTTGTAATGTACATCGCTATTTTCAACACCTCAAACATCATCATTCACACTACCCCTGTTTTGGGTGATCTGCAAAACGTTCGGGTCGTCCTCCGTTCCACGCCGAGGTCCTCCTTTCCCCGCCGCAGCTGGCGAGGTCTCAGGTTGGGGCACAGGGCGCCGCCGCGGCGCCGAGGGGGAGGTGGGGCCATGGCGCCGAAGAGGAGGCGGGGCCAGGAGCCCAGGAGGCCAGGAGGCGGGAGGAGGCAGCTGAGCAGCCAGGAGGAGCGAGACGCTGGCAACAACCTGTTGAGGCTGCTTCTTCGACTCTACAGCTCGGCCAAGCTTTCGGCGACTGAGTTCTGCCAGGCGTGTCGCTGGGCGAGCGAGGCAGGAACCCCAGGAGCGGGCTTCGATGTGTATGCCCTGCCACCAGGCCACCAGTCAGGGAAATACCAGGCGCATCTGGACAAAGTCATCCCGCAACCTAAGCATTTGACGACGGTTGCCACGCCATGTGATCTCAATCGACGGGCTGCGCGGACCATCCGGCATGTCCCTGTGCGCTGCATCTGGGAGAGCATCGAGGACGAACTGGCAACTGCACCTGCCATGCGTGCAATGCTGGACATTCCATTGGGTGAGATAGAGGAGGAGACTGTGATGGGCCTACCTGTGTACGCGCGCCACCCTGCAACTGTCAGAGCCCAGGAGGAAGGACTACCCAGGCCGCTCCCGCTCGCATTCTACCTGGATGGGGTGCAGTTCAGATCGCCCGCAGCGGGCAGGACTGACTCGGTGCTGAGATTATGGTGCATCAACCTACTATCCAGACAGCGCCACCTGATCAGCAACCTACGAGGGTCCGACAGTTGTGGTTGCGGCTGCAAGGGCTGGTGCAGTATGTACCCGCACCTCTTGGCCTCGCAGTGGATGTTCGCGGCAATGCAAGATGGGAATAGGCCCCAGGAGAAGCATGACGGTTCCGAGTGGTGCCAACTTTGCCCGATCGGCCAGAAAGCGCGCGCCTCTGCTAGACTATCGTTCACTGCTGCGCTGATCTACATCAAGGGGGATTGGTCCGAGCATGCGAAATCATTGGGGCTGTCTTCGTGGAGCAGCTCGTGGTCGCCGTGCCAATTTTGCATTCGGTCCAAGCATGAGCTCCACTCGCTCTACCATCAGTTGCCCTATGGCATCGACTGGCAGCTCAAGAATACTGAGAGCTACGAGGAGGCATGCGCTCGGTGCGAGATCCAAGTCACGCTGCGCACTGAGGACGACAGGGAAGCCTTGGCCCAAGCATTGCGGTTTCGCAAGCCAGGCAAGAACGGTCCGATTGGGGGCCGCCTTGTCGTGACCGACTTTGTGCTCGATAACGTGCAACTGCACGCGGGTGACAGACTAGAGCCGTCCCCGTATTTGTTGGACGCGCACAAGCTCGAACCTAGGAGCTACACGCACCTGCCCGTGACTATCACGTTGTGGCGTACACGACGCGTCGGAAATAAAGGTGTAGACAGCGTGTCACATCGGTGCCCAATGTTCGACAGAATCATCGGCACGTCACCTCACGACAGTCTGGCAGTATATGAATTACACTGCTTGTATTTCGGACCGATCATGCGGTATGTGTCAGCATCCATGTGGCGCATAGTCCTGTCCAACAGATGGGGCTTCATCGGGAACGTCGACCAACTGTCCGACATGGGCGCACGCCAGGTGTCAGCTGAACTTTGCAGGTGGCAGGAGGCCAACAACGTGCCCATGGACCAGCGGCTGAGCGGTATCACGCCCAGGATGCCCAGCAAACGCAAAGGCCACACGGAGCAGGACTCACGGATAACATGAACTACTGCCATTAGATGAAAGTAGTGCATTTGCAAACTCATCAAACAATACCCAGGCATCCCATCACCACCAAATATCACAATGGTTTTCTACAAACGCCAACCCTGTGTCCTCACCCTGCCTCCTCCCCATCTCCCGCCCTCCCTTCCCTCGCCTGCTCTGAGCTCTCCCCCAGGCTACCCTCGCAATCGTTTGCGCGTGCCCCCCCCCCTATCTTCCAGGAGTCGCGCATCGAGAGGCGATCCGTCAGCTTAGGATCGGCCGTCCCTTGTTTACCTTGATGTTTTTTTGTGCACCGGGGGGCCTGGTGGAAAACCCTGGGGCCGCAAGCCGCCTGCGGCCGTCAGCTTGTGTAAACGTGAGCTTCCGTCACCAGAGGACCCTTTGCACCCTGGCGGGAACGTGAGTTTGAAGGCGGCAGAGTGCGGGCTGATGTTGCCTTTCACCATCCATGCTCTCGAGAAGTGGGGGGCGGCTCGCATATTTCATCATATCTTTCGGCAGGCGGGGGTATCGCTTCTACGATTGCTCAACATCATTAGGGGGCATCGGATCTCGATTCCAGAAGAGGAACGAGTTATGCTCATAACAGAGCTTGATATGCACTTGAGGTGTTGTTCTGCCAGCTTCATTTCCATGACGCCGAAACACCACTTGACTGTGCACCTGATTCTCAGGTGAGCATTTTCGGGATCTGAAATGTTTGGGGCCCTTGGGGTGCTGAACCCCCACCTGTCCCTGTCAAGCCGTCGGGCCCCCTGACCACCGCCCCCCCCTCCGCCCCCCCCTGCCAGCGTCAGAAACCCGAGCGGGCGTAGAGGCTTGAAACCCAGCAGGGGTCGCGGCAACAGCTGCGACGCATCAGATGTCACGGCGGGGGTGCAAGAACAAACGTGCGAGGAGGGGAGCGGCGCAAGAGGGAGAACGAGGGGGCGGAGCATGGGGATGGGGGACGAGGACGACAAGGATGACAAGGGCGACAGGCAAACATATGATGATGGCGAGGCGGAGGAAGATGATGAGCAGGAGGAGGAGGAGGAGTTTTGGGGAATGATCACCCCCCAGGGTAGACGAACGCGGATCACCGCGGGCATACAATTGCTTTCTAGATGAGGGTCTGAACGCCGTTCTCAGGAGCCTGGCGCAGTTCGCACACAGGACGAAGTTCGAAGTGCGTGTGTTCACTCTGTGGGACATCCAGTCGTCTTTAGGGGTTACTCTTCACATAGCACCTGGGCTCGTGGACAGCATCGCCCTCCTTGCTGGTTTCTCCCAATAGTGGTGCTTCTGGCAATGCTGGTCGCCATCTTTGCGATTGTGGTCGCGCACGGATGCTGCGCGCCCGTGCACGTAGCGGGCGTGGAATGGGCGCGCTTGACTGCTGTGGAACCCGCGGGGAAGCACGGCGACATCTCGGTGGATCAGCCGCAGTTTCTGACGGAGGCTTGCGTTCGTGCGTTCTTGCCAGTGCTCACCTTCATTCCGAGAGACGTTGCGTTTGTAGAGATGTTTGCTGGCCGCGGTCTGACAGCCGCCCACGTCGCGGAGATGGGCGCGAGAGCGCATGCGTTCGAGCTCTCGGGCGGAGTCGAGCAAGATGGCTGTTCGACGGCACGGGGCAGGTAAAACATGCATCGTTTCAGGCGGCGTCGCAGGCGTCTTCGCAGGCGTCATCGCAGATGGCGCCTGCGATGACGCTACCAACGCTGTGTGTTTTCCCGATAAAACCAGGTTTGAATTCTCTATGC